TACCCATAGGCTCCATCGTAGCTCCTTTTTTGGGAATTACCTTGTAGGATCCGAAATAACTACTATGGAGCCTATGGGGAGGCTCTTAGACCAGCGCGTTGAGATGTGTTGGGGGCTTTATCAGCTCTCTCCAGGCGCAGGCTTTGGCTCGTCTTCTGCTCCCTGGGGTGCCGAGCCTTTTCCGGTCTTCAGCTGCTGGTGCGACAGCTTCCTGCAGCCCAGGGTTTAGGGTTTAGGGGTTTAGGGGTTTAGATTTGAGGGTTTAGGGTTTAACTCCGATAATCAGCAGCCGATCATGCCAGCACGGAATATTAATCTACTTCGTACAACTGTACAGTACTTGCTTTACAACTGATGCAAATGCTTCGGCGTCGACAGCAGCGTGTTGACAAAAATGAGCAAGGACTGGAGCCATTGTCGTGCCGGCGTCTTCCAACACCGTCCTGCGCGAATCCTGATCGTAAAAGAAGTACGCAAAAACGCCTCGGCAGAAAGCGCAGCCCTCCAGTCTAAGGTGAACACTGGCTCGATCCAGGCCCCCTGCAACAAAAGAGTAGCAGGATGCCTGCCAGTGTTTTCAGCAGTGCCGCTGCTGAAGCCGCTGTGCTGATTAAGAGAGGGAGGCGAAGCGCCTATGGCGAGGGGCCATGCCCATGGATTGACTCCAGAGCGGGACTCCTCGCCAAGAAAAAGCGGGCTCAAGAGGGCTCACAAGACCCATTTAAAAAAAAAACCGTCTCTTCCCGTCTCAAGTCGAAGACACGAGATCGGCACAGCCTCCTCTTTGTGGCCCTTGTCTGCTAGGAAGCCCACCTGTGCTTCGGATTCCCGAGGAGAGAGTCGGCGGCCTCTGCCCGAGGCCCGGCAGAGAAGCTCAGAGCCAGACAGTGGTGGTCGTCGTGTCCTGGGTTTAGGTCTTAACGGGTGCCATTACGACATCCCAAAAAGGTGCCTAAGTAACACCGGGGGCGAGCGTGCAAACCCGGTATTTCAAGCCTTAGAATCCCGAAAATGCCCTGAAGGATACAGTACCCAAAACCAACACCCTCCGTGCTGGCTGTGGGCCAGCATCGAGCAGGTGAAGTCGATGTCTTGGCTCAGCGCTGCCTCGTCTCGGACCCCAAGAAACTCCTCCGAAGCTCGCTGACTCTCAGGCCGAGACGGCGTAGGCCGGCGACACCTGGCAAGGTGGCCCAAGGTCTTTCAACAGAGCTCCTCTAGAGGCCGCTGAGGCCTTTGTAACCCAGGTATAACCCAAGCCGGAGGTCACAGAGACGAAGTCGCTGCAGGCATCTTCGCAGCCGAAGCAGGCGAAGCGCACCAAGTGCTTCCTGGCTGGAGTACTGCATGGCGTCTCTGGACAACTCTGGCCAACGCAGGGGACGGCCCGGAGACCTGCGTGGATTCGAGCCCTCAACGAAGTAGAGGTCGTTCCCAGCCTGACGGTCGCACATGAGATTTCACTCCTCCACCCAAAACATCCCAGCCACGGATCTCCTTGATGAACCGGGCCGGCAAAGGCGTCGTCGTCCGGACCTGAACCATCGCTGCCCGCACCGGATGTATGTGCTGAAGAGGGGCCTCTTCAAGCCCCTGCCGGCGCCTGCTCTGCCTGTGCTACGTCGGCCGAAGGCGATGCCGGAGCCGCCGTGCGCTTCGGGTGAGCCGGGCTCGGTCTCGGGATGCTCGCATCAGTGATGGCATCACAGGACCTGCCCAAGACGACCCACCGCCCTGCTGCGCGGAGGGACTCTGTGCCTCGGCCCAGCCACGGCGTTGGGGATCGCCTTCGGCTGCAGGCCGGAGCCCTGGAGCCAACAGCCTCCGCCCTGCAAGTAGAAGGTGAAGACCTCAGCTCCGCAGCTCCCGCAGCAGCACGAGCTCAAGCTCGCAGAGCTCTCACACCTATGGGCCCTCCCCCCCAGCGGCCCCAGGCCCCCAGCAGAGCAGTTCAAGTGCTGCGCCTCGGCTCGCGCTGACTGGCCATAGAGTGCTCTGCAGACGAGGAGATTCTGACAGAGCTTAAGGGGTGGCTGTATGTATGGATGGGACCTTTAAGATCAGCTTCGGGTTTAGGGTCCCAGGGTCCTCCCATAGGCTGTTGACTGCCGCTGGGTCCTGGGCGCACTTCTCTTGACAGACGCTTGCGTCCAGCACTCCGGTGCCGCCATTGACCGAGGTGACCACAGGGTCATCGTACCTCTCCGAGTCTCATTTAGGGTTTAGGGGTTCATCTGTCTCGGCTTTCCGGCCTATGTCGAGTCGAACATGCGCGCGAAACTCTGAGGGAAGCGCCCTTGACCGACAATGGCACAGCTGGGAACACCTCAGCTTTCACAGCAATGCATGGCAGCGGCAGAAAGCAAGAAGAATCCACAGAAACTGCGACGAGTATCTGAGAGTCGCAGAGGAAGGTACTAGCTTGGCTTTGTTGCGCCACCGAGGCCACAAGAGCCTCGTCGTCGGACAGCTCTCCAGTAGCTCACGGCTCTTCTACCGAGACGGACGGCTCCTCCCACTTTTTCCAGCGATCGTCGGCTCGCTCTCGTGGGATAGATGAGACGGATTAAAGTGGAGCGCCCACGATGTGTGGAAGGACTTGACCACGGGGCATTTCCTGCTTGAGTTGAAGGCACCAGAAGCAAAAGGGAACGTCATCAGCTCCATGAGAGAGAGCTCCCCAAAATTCGCGAAGCTTTCTGCGGCGCTTGGACCGTCACGCCGTTCTGCCGTAATGTGGGGGTCTGGCTACAACCTGTCTTCGTGTTTCCCGCTTCTGCTTGACGGCGCAAGCAGCCAGGCACAAGCAAAATGCGACTGGTCCCACTCATGCTCTGTCCATTCAACTCTGCACAGGAAGGCGCCACAACGTCAACATCATCAGATGACGTGCTCAAGGGCTGAAAATATCGATTGATCTGGGCATTCATGCTCTATGCATCTGAAGCCGAGTGTCCTTCCTGGTTGGATGCAGGCAGGCCCCCAATTTGCTTTTTTTTGTACAGAGGGCTCAGTACCTGCCATAGACCTGGTCAAGAGCGGGTTTAGGGCCACATCGAGAGTACCGTGAGGCAGAGAGTAACGAGCCTCACACTTCGTGGCTGAAGCGGCACTCATCCCCGAACTTGCAGCTTCCGTTGTCCCTGCAGCAGAGCTCGGGACAAAAAATGGGGGGTGGAGAAGGCTCAGCCTCGCCTGAAGTCGTAGCAAATGCCTGACTCAGAACGCTTCTCTGGGTGAAGCGAAGGGAGAATTTCAAGGTCTGCCGGGTCTGGAAGGATCTGTTGGGTCGGAAGTCCGCTGTCTCAGACATATGTCAGTTCAGACTCTGGGAGTGCCATGCAACTACGCATCAAGTCAGCAGTGAAGAGAAAGATTTGAGAAAATTCGACAGGAGTGTCTGGTTCTGCGCTCGCAGGTGACCATCCGAGCGAACTGCTTTCGGAATCAACGGCGGCTGTGCCCCCGCACTCGATGCTTGCTCCACCCAATCAAAACAGTTCCGGATTTTAAGGGGCTGTAAGCGCTTGCCCTACCCGCGGCCAAGCTCTTCTGGGGCCCTGGCCGGTTGGACCACCTTTGCCCTTCCCGCCCTTTCCTTTGCTCTTGCCGCCCTCGGGGCAATCCCGGGCCTGCAGGGGATAGTGTCGTCAAGAACATGATGACACAATGATGCTTGCGGCCGCAGGGGCGAAGTGGTCGCCGCCGCAATTGAAGCAGTCCACGCTCTTGCCCTGAAGAGGGGCCGAAGTGCGCAGGAACTCTTTCTCTCTGACTCCTGACCGGCCTTGTTCTTGCCCTTCCCTTTCCCCGAATCTGGGCAATCTCTGGCGACGTGGTCGCCTCGGGGCCAGCCGAAGCGCGGAACTGCGGAACTTCCCCTTCTTTCTGGGGCAGAGAAAAAAAAGAGGAGTGCCTCCGCAGTTCCAGCAGCTCAGAGGCCCCTGGCAGAGTCGAGCCGGGAGTTTATAATTAGCAGCCTACTCTGGCAGTCTCTAGCAGACTCTATAGCACCTCTGAACTTCTGAGGTTCTCATCGCTTTTTGTCCGCCCTTAATTTTTTTTTTTGGGGGGGGGGGGGGTTGGGTTTAGGGTTTAGGGGTTTAGGGATTTAGAGATTTAGGGTTTGGGGTAGCATGGGTTGGGTACTTTAGGGGTCATATTAATTATTAAGAGCTATCATATACTCATACTATAAAAATCATCCAACTGTTACAGAGTGGAGGCAGCACCCAAAGCGTGGGCCTTGAAGGGTCTCTCCATAACAGTCACCATACCGGTCGCGGGTTTGGGTGGTTGCCACTATATCATGAGCATACCCTAGGGCTCCAGTTACCTAACTAGTAGGTTACTGGGGTACATAATATATGGTTAGCAACCCACTTTTTAGGTAACTGGAGCCCTAGGGATAGGCTT